AAGCACAATATTTCCGAATCATCTCCTGAAACCATGGAATCCTGGGGTGTGAGTCGACCGCGCCAACCAAGCCTTCCGTACCTGCGGGGTCGATTAATTGGTACCAGACTTGTCTGGGAGGATAAAAAACACTGACTTGTACATTGGCTGGTCAGCGCAAGTCATTGTATGGGCCACATCACATTCAAACGCCACTACGAATGTACAAATGGAAGTAGAATGCGTGCCGCATCCCAAAAAGGGATTGATCAACGGCGAATGCTTTATCCTTTTATCCATCTACCATTAGTGAAACTTTTCAGGCAGGAGTTGGCTCGCGCAAATACTCGGAAAAAGATTATGGATCCAGTGGATCAACAATGACTGGTTGACATGAACTCAAAGCACTTGTACACACTATTCTTTCCTTTCATTGAATAAATGATCATCACAACTTTTTGAAACAGTGCCATATCATGATCTTCCATTGCACTGCATATGTTGCGACCACACGGAGCAGGATCAATTTTGTTGATTTACGAAGTTTTTCCCTAATTCTATACATGTTATACTTTATGGGTCTAGAATACAACATTTATGGGATTATTCAAGGTATTGATAGGGCTTTAATCAATTATGTGAAGAAAGAAGAATTACAGCAGCTCACAATGGGTTAGCGAAACTTCTTGAATATTTTTTGGAGGTTCGGAAACTTGTTAGACTAAATAGGCACTGAGGGGATCTAAAGTTAAGGAGATCTGGTATGGTGATAGGACGTGGATTGAGTATCACGCTACCTCATCTTCTTCATCATAAGCGTTGCAGTAATCACACACTACTTTCACTTACAATTGAACATGCATTTTCCAAGCATCTGACATTTTTGATTTATATAGCAGCAATATTTTGTCCACATATATCAGGTAATTGATTACTATCATACAGTAAACGTGGTAAGGTGATCTGAATGAGAAGGGCTTGGAAATGTGTATCTAACAATAAGACTGCACCTAAGAGAGAAGGGTTATCAAGTGGTTCATACAATGTTATTTGTCTCGTTTTAGGTACTCAAATTCATCGCATAGAAGTGTTTCCTTTTTATTATAACCAGTTGGGCTGCGCACGATACCGAGCGCGAGAGACGGCTGCGGTGAGTAGATGACTTGTGGGGGATGATACTGACCCGAGTTGCGCAATACATATGCAATCATACATGAACGTATAGAATTTTGGTTGCTGCGACCTCACCCAGTGAATAGTGTGAGAGGTGACCAATTCCGACCCCCTAGGGGAAAACCTATGTATAGTATATAATCCGTATCGGTTGATAGCTCAGAAGTTTTCAAAACAACACTTATGGCAATCAAATCCCGAGCCCCATACTTTTTCGGCTTTTCGAGCCGTCTTAGAAAAAGAATTATAAATGCAGTGGGATACCCAGTTTACACCTATTTACACCCCGCCAGACTGAGCAATGCTCAGCCAGCTGAAGGGTATTTCATGCACAGAATGAATAGTTTTTTTCTATCATTCTCTTTTTGCTTTGTGCACATGATGATACAGTCACGAATTTTTTGCCAAGCATCTTCCCATGTTTG